ACCTCCCTCACTCTTCCGCTGCATCTCAGAGTGGAGCCTGCTGATCTAATCAGTGTTACCTTTCATGTCTTTCTGTTCATGACAGGTGATCAGGGGACACATTTGAATTAGGGATCACACTGCACAGGGGGGCGGGGGGGTTGAACCTCGGCGCCCCGGGCAAGATGGACCATGGATGGAACCCATTGAAGAAAAAAAAAGTGTGAATGTGCCATCATGTCTTGATTATATTTTACGCTAAGGTGCCTCAGTTAGAACACACTTGGCAAGCCTACCAACACTTTCCTCAGTTGAGGTTCAAGAATAACGTCATCCCAAACCACGACGATTGTTCCCTCAAGTGACGGAGAAAGTGAATGGCTGTTGTCACGCATGCTGTAATCAATCATGTTGAGGAACTACAGCCGCTAACTTTGTCTACTTCAGCTAGCAATAGTGACGTCTATTCAATCACTGCTGTCATTTTTGTTGAACCTTCATCATTACTCTGTACAAGATTTAGGTCAATATATGTACGGTAGAGTACATATTTCAGACTGTATATATACTGTAGTTCTGGCCCTTTGTGGATGGGAGAATATCATAAATAAATTCAATCTTGTGAACTCAATTCTGGCTTGTAACACTCATGTATATGTTATGTAATCAATACATGCTGGAAAATCAGTGTTTCCAATAAATTACGACTGTTTGAAATGAGTATGTTTTCAAAGTAATTTAAAATACTGAAAAATCTAATTAACTTTAGGTGCATCATATATGTCAAATGTAATTTGATATCCATTATTGCCTGATATCCATTAATTCTCAAGTAATAATTGTGCCTTGGCTAAAGTGTTTCTGACTTTGACCATTGAGGGAAAAACACAGTAATATAATCAAACTTGTATTTGCAAACTAGCAGGGTCAGAACCCGAGCCCAGTGGACATAGACAACAATCTATCGAGCCCCTCAACATTGTTAAAGAATGTTGCGTCTAATGTGGGAGAAATTTTGCACTGTGCACAAAAATGAAGTGCATGCTAACGTATCATTAGCCAATTTAATAGATCACTTATTTGATCACTGGTCACCATCGCAATGGAAAAGATGCTTTCCATCACTATGCCAGAAAACCGACTGTGAACCTGGAAATATTTTTTGTGCTACCGGTAATGAGTTTATATCCGCTTCGTCTGAATACATGATTCATACA